AGGAGTTGGAGGTTGCTGTGAGCGTGATGCCATGGCACTCTACCCAGGGGGATAGCTTGAGGCTCCGTCTCAAAAAAAAAAAAAAAAAAAGAAAAGCAGTTGCAAATGACTAGAACCAAGCAAAACTAGTGTAAGGCTGCAGTAGAGAGAAAACAGATCAGTCTCAGGACTGCCTTGTGGCCTCGAAGTTTAGGAGCACTTAAGTGAGGAGAGTCTCTAGCCCACCTGCAGTTTTAAATCATAGCACAGCTCAGAGAAACACCAAGTAATATTTTGTAGGCTAAAAAACTACCGAAGCCCATACTTGACTGCATTTCTAACAAAGAAAAATAGATTAGATTGGCCTATTAAGACATTTCATCGGCTTGGCACCTGTAGCTCAAGCAGTTAAGGCGCCAGCCACATACACCAGAGCTGGTGGGTTCAAATCCACCTGGGGGCCCCCAAACAACAATGACAGCTACAACCAAAAAATAGCTGGTGTTCTGGCGGGTGCCTATAGTGCCAGCTACTTGGGAGGCTGAGGCAAGAGAATCGTTTAAGTCCAGGAGTTGGTGGTTGCTGTGAGCTGTAATATAACAGCACTCTCCGGGGCGACAGCTTGACGCTTTGTCTAAAAAAAAAAGACGTTTCATCCACAATTGAGAATTTATTTCCCTGAGGGATCATACTAACCAGTTAGGAAAGCGAAGATTCTCTGCTTTTCCTAGAATGTGGAAAAAAGGTCTATGCAGTCATAGAAACTTTCCCTTTTTTTACTTCAAAAATAAAGCTGATTTTTTGGACCATTAAAAAAAATGCTATGAAAGCACAAACAGTGATATTTCAAAATACAACTAGGACAAAATTAATAGGTCCCAGATACTGAGTTTAATATTGTAAAGATTTCATCCAAGCTGTACATGAATTTTAATTCTTCTTATTTATCTGTTAGTCGGTTGGATATACGGGTATCGTTCTATTGCTGGAAAATCTTAGGTATAACTTAGAAATCTTAGTAAAATTGTCTATTTGAATAGTCTTTTAATAGCTCTTATACATAAACCTTTATAGTAGGTTTTTGGCATTGTGCTTTTTTATACTTTACATTGAAATATTCTTTCGTGAGTTCTGAAAAAATGCCTTAATATACTGTTGCTTTGCTGTGTCTTTTAAAGTAACACTGTTCCTTCTGTTTCTCTAGATATCTATGCATTTATGTAGGACCCATCATCATAGTGCCTAGGCACTATGTTTGATGTCAACCATAAGAGGAAACTTGCCAAGAAAGCTTGGTTTATTATCTATCACTTAAGACAACAATTAATCTGTTTTCCACTGTTTGGATTCTTAAATTGTACTCCTTCAGCCAGAGGAGCTTACGCTGCTGCTAATAAAGCTGAGACGGCAGCAAGCTGAACTGAGTAGTATCCGGGAGCATACGTTAGCACAGCTCATGCAGCTAAAGCTCGAGGCCCACAGCCCAAAGGTCAGCTATGGAGAGATGTGTCTGTGTCGTGTGCCATCATCACTTACTCTGAGCCACTCATTAATCCGTATGATCAGCATCATTAGTGTCGAGCATGAGCCCATACCAGTCATTGCAGCGGCAACATTGGAATCTTCTATTAACCCTTTGAGAATTCAATTTAGTGACACATTTTTGAAAGAAAATTTAGGTAGGATGCATTTCTTATTACACTTTTATCCAACCGCTGACTTTTGGTTGTGAGGAAGGAAGTGGATCCAGATACCAAAATGGCCTTGCTGTTTACTGAGTACTATTGAATACAGACGTCCACATCCGGCAAAACAGATACTGAGAAATTCTATAATTTCTGGTAAAGCAGGAAGTTGAAAATTCATTATAGGCTCAGCGCCTGTGGCTCAAGCGGCTAAGGCGCCAGCCACATACACCTGAGCTGGCAGGTTCGAATCTAGCCCAGGCCCACCAAACAACAATGATGGCTGCAACCAAAAAATAGCCAGGCGTTGTGGCGGGCGCCTGTAATCCCAACTACTTGGGAGGCGGAGGCAGGAGACTCGGTTGAGTCCACGAGTTGGAGGTTGCTGTGACCTGTGATGCCATGGCACTCTACCCAGGGCGACAACTTGAGGCTCTGTCTCAAAAAAAAAGAAAATTCATTATAGTTTTAGTAATAATGCCTTTTAAATGTCAAAGTTAATCTTTAAATGTCTTTTATTCTTGATGAAAAGAGTGAGTTTGGCTCGGTGCCTGTGGCTCAAGCGGCTGAGGCGCCAGCCACATACACCTAAGGTGGCGGGTTCGTATCCCCAGCCTGGGCCCGCCAAACAATGATGACTGCAACCAAAAAATGGCCGGGCGTTGTGGCGGGCGCCTGTAGTCCCAGCTACTTGGGAGGCTGAGGCAGGAGACTCGCTTGAGCCCAGGAGTTGGAGGTTGCTGTGAGCGTGATGCCATGGCACTCTGCCCAGGGGGATAGCTTGAGGTTCTGTCTCAAAAAAAAAAAAAAGAAAA